GCCAGCTTTCCCTGCCGGGACCCCGGCTTCCCGCCCCTTGCTCTCCCTTGGCCTCTTCCCGGCGTGCCCGGGTACTGGCCCCACGCACGTCTTGGGCACATCCGCCCCCCCACGCACGTCCCAAGCGTGCCCTGGGTGCATCGCCACATGACCCCACACATGTCCCGTGTGCGTGTTGGGTGTGTCCGCACACACGTCCTCAAGCAAGTCCTGGGCGCGTCCTGGGCGGGTCCCCACACCTGAGACCATGCACGTCTGCATGCAAGTCCCGGGTGTGTCCCCACACGTAACTCCACACACGTCCCGAAAGCGTCCGGGGCGCGTCCCCACACATGACCCCACGCACATCCCAGGCACGCCTCGGGCGCGTCAGCCCGCATGAGCCCATGCACGTCCCAGGTGCGTCCCCGTACATGACTCCACACCCGTCCCGGGCACGTCCCGGGCGTGTCCGCACACCTGAGGCCTTGCGCGCCCCCTTGCGGGTCCAGCTCTCCTCTGAGCCCAGAGCGCTCGCAGCTCTGCAGCTCACCAGGCACCTGTGCATTTCCTCTTGCCTTCAGGTGTGCGTCTGCGTTTCTCAAATGGGCTGCGGACTGGGTGGATGGATTCCTCTCTGTGCCCCCACTAGGCATCCCACAGACCTTGACTGCCAGTCTGAGGATCAGGTTCGCCCCGCGCTGCGTGCTTCTTGGCACTTGGGGCGCAGCTAGACCTGGTCAGTGCTGGGACACGTCTCCTGACCTGGAGTGGGGGGGCACCCAGGCTGTGGGGCCGTGGCTGCCCGCCGCTTCGTGTGGATTTGTACGAGGGAAGGCAGAAGGGAAGACAGCAGAGGTGCCTGCTTGGGCCATACGCCTCCCAGGGCCCCTCCGTGGCCCCCCTCCACCCATGCTCTCCAACGGGTCCCCTTCGTGGGAGTCGCTCTGTGAGCCCCTCGCGGGAGCACAGTGCCTCTCAGCTCTGGCTGGAGTCCATTGGCAACGTAGGCCGGGCCCGAGGTGCCAGAGGGCTTTGTTCCCCCTCCCCTGGCCTTCACCCCTCGTCCTGTCCTGTGTGGCCTTCCTGCCAGGGAGGAAACCCTCCACATGTGGGACACTAGTGGTGGCCCGTTGGACAGCCGGCCTGTTGGTAGCCCAGGTCTGTCCTCTGACGTGCTCCCTGATGCTTCGTGTGGCCTCTCTTCCTAAGGTCTGTCCCAGAAACAGCAGTGAAGTGGGGCCTGTGCAGGAAGGCCGCCTCCACAGCACCACCCCGACACACACACCAGAAAACCTGGTTTCTGTCCACTGGCTCACGGCTGCCCCCTGCTGTTCAGGGCCCACAGACCTGAGCGCACCCAGGCAGGGAGCTGTGTGTAGGGTGCTCATCCTGGCAGCTTTATTCACTGTGGACCCAAACTGGGGAGGCTGCGGGCCCTCAGCAGGAGACTAGAAGAACGCTTGGAAAATTCATGCTACACGATAATGTCCAGCAGCAAATGGGAACGAACGACTGGTACGCATTGGTCTGGAAGCCTTACATGAGTCACCACTGAATGGTTCACTGACGTGAACTTCCAGGCCACGTTTAATCTATAGTGAAAAATATCAGAAGGGTGGTTGCCCCTGGGAGTGTGGGTGGGACTGACTGGGAAGGCTGGGGACACTGGGGAGGTGGTTGTGGTCTGTGTCCTGATAGGCTTGGGCTACGCAGATGTGTACCGTCGGTAAAACTCACCTCACATGTGTTCCTCTCACTGATTCTCAACTTCACCTCTCGGCCCAGGAAAGAAGCCGGAGACAAATACCGAATGCCAGTGACGCACAAGCACGTCGCGTTGCTCAGGGACGACGAGTACCGAGGTCTGCGGCTTCCTCTGAAGTACGTCCGAAAGTGAGTTAGGCTGTTGGAGGGCTGGGGGGACCGGGGTAAAGCAAAGATCACAGTACAGTAAGCGTAGAGCCCGCATGGTGCACGTAGGCATGCTCACATGCAGCTCTTCTACCTCTCCTGTATGTCTGGGACTTGCCATCTCAAAAGGTTGGGGGAGAAATGAGTGAGGCAAAATGCAGAATTTCTTTAGGTACTGAGCCTTGCCTCTCGGCGAGAGGAAGGAAGGGTGCCCAAGTCCATCCTGCAGGGGAGGCTCAGCACATCTTGTGCAGCATGCAGTGTTTACTAGGCACTCTAGAGCTGAGGTCCGGCTTTGGCGAAGGGAGGACTCAAATGCAAATAAAACCCAACCCCTGGATGGGCTATGGTCTGGCCGGACGGGTCATGGGAGTGAAATTGCAGGGTGAGCAGAGAGTTGCACTGTGTTTATGTACCGTGTGTACAGTCTGCACACTTGTACACAATGGGGTGTCACATGAGCCAGCGTGGAGTTTCCAGACGTGGCTGTGTTCTTGGTGTGTGAGCCGGGCCTGAGGAGTGAGTAAAGTGGGTCAGGAGGCCCGTGGTCAGGGGTCCCTCAGGCAGACGCACGGCAGCACACAGGCACGGCCCATGTTACGTGTCCCCAAGTGCTTGGTGGCTGGGTTGGGTGAAAGGCACATGTCTGGGACAGCAGAAGTGGCGCCCTGGTCAGCTCAGGCTGCTACAGCCTCCTTGGCTGGGCGCCTTAGGCAGCAAACACTTAATTTCTCATGGTTCTGGAGCCCAATCGGGTTCTGGCAGGGGCCCGCTTCCGGGCTGCCGATGGCTCACTTGCATGGCAGAGAGAGAGAGACAGGGAGCAAGTTCTCTGACTCTTATCAGGACACTAATCCCAGCATGGGACCGCCCTGGTGGCGTCATCTGACCCTGGTGACAGCCCTAAGGCCCTGTCCGCAATGCCATCACGCTGGGGAATAGGGGGTCAACCTATTTGGGAGGGGGCTGCAAGCACCCCATCCGTAGCAAGAGGCTGCCTGGGTCTGTTACTCAGGCCTGATTTTTACGCCAGAGGTGTGGTGTTGCCTGTGTGACAGCAGGCGCTGTGTGCACGTTTCTGCATCTCTCCATGTACACAGCTGTCTGCATTTTACAGAGGAGGAATCCGGAACCCCGCGGGCAGTGTATTGGGGAAGGCTAGTCCGAGCCTGGGCAATGCTGCTCCTGGGCTTCACTCCTAAGCACCCTGTGGTGCTGTTGCCGAGTTCAGGAGCCCAGGAGTGGAGCGGATCCTCGGTGGTGCTCGGGATGTGGCAGGACGGGTCATGACAGCAGGTCCAGGCTACGGAGCCAGCCAAGGTGCTTGCTGGGGGTTCAGCCGCCTCTGGGAACACGTCTGGTTACCTGGCTTCCAGAGGGGGTGTTTCTCTCCAAGAACCTGATCTCAAAACAGTGCCTCCATTTCTAAGAAACCGAATGCAGTTAAGTATAGCTTCATCCATTTCCTCATCTGCCCCTCCCTCAGCCACCTCCTCATGCGTCTCTCCCTCCGTCAGTCGGTTCCTCTCTCCGTGCATCTTTCCATCCCTCTTTCGGGGCAGATCTGCAGGTACAGTTGTTTTAAGAGAGAGCAGCAGGGTTTGTGGTGGGTCAGACAGAGGAAGAGACAAGAGGGGGTTCAGGAGGTCTGAAGCCCTGTGGTCTGTGCAGTGGACAGGATTCACTGCTGGGGAGGAAATGGGCCGGGAAGGGAGCACGTGGGATCAGCACTGGGTGGGGGGTTGGCCACACACGTGGTCCAGGGGGCTGAGGCTTGGGTGCGGGTTGGATGTGGGGGAAGAGAAAGGATGGGTTGGGAAGGGGCGACACCTGCTACGAGATGGGTGGAGGTAAAGCCTGAGGAGGGGCAGTGGGCACATGGGGGCTGGGATGCAGGCTGCAGAGGTGCCTCCGGAACTGGGAGAAAAGTGGTTTTTGTTATTTAAGCCCCCAGGCTGTGGGATGTTGTGACAGCACCCGGGCAGCTGATGCAGGCTGTTCTCAAGCATATCCTAGACACCCGGGCTGCCTGAGCAGTTGGCCTTCCCTCCGAGGCACCTGCACACGCTGCACTCCCGGCTCCCCACTTGCACTTGCGGTGTTATGCACATTCCCTAAGACAAGCTGGCTGATGGCTAACAATTGGAGCCTGGGGCCAGGTGATCCCTGTGTCATGCTGGTGCTGGCTGGAGGATGACCAGGACCATCGCAGCCCTGCAGGAACTGGCCCTGGAGGGCGGTGAGGGGAGGCACGCCCCCCACCAGCAGCAACTGCAAGCAGTGTATTCGCATCTGCTGCACTTGGAAAGAGAGTTGACTGAGATGTTCATCTATACTGGTGGCCAGGCCCTTAGAAGGAATAGGTTTAGAAGGTCCGGGTCAGGGAGGCCTGGGGACAGGCCCCCTGGAGGGGGCTCGGATGCGATCATGCCTGGGTCCCTTGAGCATACTCACCAAATGCTTCTCCCCAGGCCAGTGAGGAAGGGGACCCGTTCCCAGATGTCAGCCAGCTGCTTCCCAGCCACCCCGGTCTTTGCACAAAAAGCCCATGAAAGAGTGGTGGTGGTGGGTGGGTGGCGGTCCAGGGGTCAACACTCATCTCTCCCACCAAGGCCGAGCTGTGTCATGCCCCCTAAGCACTAATCTCTCAGCGGCTGAGACCTATGACACACCTGGGGGAGCAGCCAGCCTCTGGTGGGAGACCGAGTCCGGTGGACTCACTGGGGTAGATGATTATTCTGGGGGCGGTTTTTCCATGCTTGCCCACCAGGCTTCCACCAGGAACCCCATCACAGACCCACTCAGTGCTTTCTTACCTTCACGCTGACCTGCCCACACCACCTCTGACTGGGACCCCAAGAGGTGCGGTGAGGGGCTGGCATCTGGAGACTTACAGGTCCCACTGGGTCTCCCAGCCAGACAGCAGGGAATGTTGGCTGGCCCACTAAAGGCAGCATAGAGGCTGGTGGGAAAACAGCCCTCCAAGACTTATCGCTGTGCTGTCAGACGTGTTCTCGGCCAGCAATCAGCAAAGGGTACTGGTTTCCTGAGGCCAGACTTGTTCGGGTCCAGGAAGAAGGCAGAAAAGTGGGTGCGGCCCCTCTCTCCATCATACTTAGTGATCCACCTGCAAAAACATTGGCTCTCCATGCCCAAAAGGTTGGGATCTGCTGGAGTGTAAGTCCTGGTGTAAACCCGGGTCAGGAATGTACCCCTAAGGGGCGATTCCCGGAGGGCAGGTTTTCACAGCACAGTATTCGCCTTTCCCACTGACATTAAACTCGCTCACTCCCCAGCATCCAAGGGGTGGGTGGGCGCTTTACAGACCGAGCGACCTGAGCATGTACCCTGGAGCTGGACTGCCCATGCCCACGGGCCCCAGAGGCCCCGCTCAACGCTGGGATCGTGGATGTAACCGCGAGCACGGGTGTGATTGGTTCCATGCCAGGCTCCAAGGCGCAATTCTGCCTCCCCGGCGGTGGAAGGCAGCACTTGGAGATGGGAAGCCGAGAACTAACGGCTGAAACACACGTGCACCTGCCCCGCGACGCTGCATGGCCGCTGATCTGCACCGCGAAGCGTGGTGAGTGACTCGGGCTTGCGCACGGGTGAGCGGCGGCGGCGGCGGCCGCGGAGGGCAGGGCCGACTCGGCTCGGGGCTGCCTCTCCTCCGCGCTCCGCGCTCCGCGCAGCCGGGGTTGTTTTCAGCGACGTCGTTTCCTGATCCTAATAGACTGCGGACCGGCTGCTGAAGAGCCAGACGCGCGGAGAGGACTAGAGGTGGGCTGGGGGTGTCGGGGCCGCGCGGCCCGGCAGCGGGGCGCTCGGGGAGGGCCTGGCTTTGGGGCGCCCGCCCGCGCAGCGCCGCTGCAACGGCCGAGGGGTCCTTGGACGCCGCTGCCGGGAGCCTCGGTGGGAGCCGCCCGGCCCCGGCCCCGGCCCCGGCCCCAGCCCCGACCCCGGCCCCCGGCCCCCGGCCCTAAGCGCCGCCCCCGGGCCTCCGCGCTCCGCCGCGCCTGGCACCACGCTGCGCTCCGCCGCCCGCCCGGCCTCCCTGCCCCGCGGGGTGGAGGGGAGGCAGCGCCCGCTCGGCCCGGCCCGCGGGGGCAGTTGGCCTGAGGGTGACCCGCGGGAAGGCCAGAGGGGGACCGGAGGTGGCTCGCGGGCGGGCAGGGGGTGCCTGAAGGTGGCCTGGGTGTGGTCGGGGGCGGCGGGGTGACGTCCCGGTGGCCGGGGTCCCGCGGTCCCCTGCCCTGGTGGGGGTCCTCCCCGCTTCTCCAGGCCTCCCCCGCGGGCCAGCCACATCCTTCTCCGCCGCTGCCATTTCCTGGGGACGCCTGGGGGCCGATGGCAAGTGCACAGGCGGGGACGCCGGCTGGGCGCCGGCCCTGGGGGTGGGCTGGTGCTGGCGCAGGGGTCCGAGCCACTCGGGGCTTCCGCGTGGCCAACGGAGCTGCCCAGGGCAGGCGCGGCTCCGGAGGGTGTGGGGTGTGTGTGTGTGTGTGTGTGTGTGTGTGTGTGTCTCCTTTTAAGATCCCACTCATTCCCATTTCCGGGGGTAGCGACATAGCTGTCAGAGGCGCACAAAGTCGGGAGGCACACAATGCAGGTTTGATGGGGTCGGGGGTCAGAAAGGAGGCCCGCGCCGTCGCCTGCCCCTTGACCGCCCCGGCGGCAGCTGGGTTTCAGCGGTTCCTTCCTGGGGCGCCCCGGGCTGCCTGTCACTCTCGTCCCCCCGCGGTGATGGAGTGGGTCAGGGGTCTCTAGCTCTTCTGCGCGGAAGAGTGCGGTGACGGCCGATGGAGGCTCCGCCCGGGCTGCGGGCACGGGGAGGCTCCCAACGAGGGGTGCGGAGGGACAAGCAGGGCCCGCACCACCTTGCTGGGGGCGGCTCTGCGCCCAGGCGTTCGTGGCTCCCAGGTCTCTGCTTACCACCTTGTAAGCCTGTGTGTTAAGGAACAAAAATACCCCTTAGAGGGACCCCCAGGGTGTGTCCGCAGGGCGCTGGTGTGCGGTCAGGGGGAAGCACCTGGCCCGGCGGCGTCCGTCTTTGGCTTCCTGGCCAGGGGACCCACGGGGCGCGCCCAGGGTGGCCTGGGCCAGGGGCTGCTCTGTGGCGGGACAGAACCGCTGGGGTCCTTCCCGCTAACCGGGCGGGGCCAGCAGCCTAGCACCTCACTCCTTACCTGGACTGCCTGCCTTCTCCCAAAGGGAAGATAATTGGAAAGAGGAACTTTTACAATCAGGCATTTCAGTTGGTTGCTGACATAAGATATTTCCAGGTTTAAATAGGCTTTTTAAGCACACAGTTTATCACTGTATAAGCTCATTATTGTTTCAGGACTTCATTTGTAGTGAGCATAGTAACACAGGTGTGGCCTGGCGTTTATTATCGGTGCTGATGACACCCGCTGAGAACCAAGGTCCGAAGGAGAGAGGGCTCGGACGCGTGGGGGTCAGTTCAGATGCCCGCAGCCACAGGCATGGCGCCGCAGCTGGCCTCTCCTGGGAGCCAGCGTCCGGGGGCTGCCTTTCCTGGCGGCGGTTGGTGGCGTCAGGGTGAACAAGTCCCAGGGTCTGGGGTTTCAGCACCACAAATTTGCTTGCATGCCACTTGGCAAGATCCGGGAGGTTGTGACCAATGACAGCGCAAGGAAAAGCTTATGGAGGAAAAGGTGAGGAGGGTCTAATGATGAAAAACAGCCGCCCATTCCACAGCCCCTGCTCCGTGCCGGCGCTGTTCCGACTTCTCCACCTGGTAAGGGGTCACCTGCAGGGCAGGCCTGGGAAGCTCCTGGGGAACCTCGAGGCGGGCCAAGGTGGCGGCTCCCTGGGAACCTGGCTAGGGCCTCACCCTCACGGAGCGTCTGGGGAGGCAACGACTGTATCATGGAGAATCATCTAGAACGGAGGAGCCTGAGGCCTGCGGAAGGGAAGGGCCTTAGCTCAAGCCTTGAAACCAGCAATTAGGGTCTGTGCCTCTTGGTGGGAGTCCAGGGACTCGTGGGCCTCTGCTGCAGCCTGTGTCCCCAGCCCTGCCCCGCCACCCTCCTCCCAACACAGTGGCCTCAACCACGTGTCTCGGGTGGCAAAGCTGTGCCGTGTCCAGCACAGACTGGCAAGGCCTTGTCCTCAGCGCCCTGCCGAGACCTTCTGCTAAAGGTTGCCTCCTGCGTGAGCTCAGAACAAGGTCACACCTCCCCAGCTGATCTGCCTGCAAGAGGCCCTGCAGTCAGCACCATGCTATGCTCTCCAGGCCAGCCACCTCAGGACCCCCACTCCCTCTGGGCTGACCCCGCAGCGGGGGGCCTCCTCTGGCCTCCTCCCTCGGCCTCCAGCCTGGGCCATGGAGACCCGATGTGGAAAGCATGGGGCCCTCTCAGGTGTGCAGACCACCTGCTCCCCAGTCCCCACCGTCACACTGAGGCTCTCTGCACCAGCCTTCACTTTATGATTACGAAGGAAATTCTAAAATTGCAGAAAGCGCCATCCAGTCGGTAGTACCTGTGATTAAAGCCTGCAGAGGGTGCTCCTGTGTGGTCAGGCGCTGTGTGGACCGAGTGTCTGCGTGGAATTCGTATGTGGAACAGCTCTGACCCCCAGTGTGATAGTATCTGGAGGCAGCCCTTTTTGAGGTGGTTCAGGTTAGTGGAGGTCATAAGGCAGCCTTGATGGGGCTGACATCCCTGTGAGAGGAGAGCTCTTAGGCCATAGCTCGCAGCCGGGGACAGGCAGAGGTGCTCATCTGAACCCCGCCTCGCTGCACCCTGAGCTGGGCGCTCAGCCCTGCAGCTGTGAGGACCAGCTCTTGTTGTGGAAGCCCCCTGACCTGTGGCCTGAGCTCCCCAAGACCATGCTGTCCCTCCACAACTAGACACCCCTGGTGCCCACTGACCTCTTGACCAGCACCAGTGGAAAACGTCCCTCAACACACATAGTTTTGATCATACTATAATCACTTTATATGTCATATTGTGAGCATTTTCAAAAATCAATCAAAAGATGATCTGTAGGGTCATCAGCCATTTCCTTAATCAGTCCCTTATAATTAGGCATTTGTGTTGAATTTAATCCTTTGCCATCAGGAGCAACCCCCCGATGGACTCTCTTAACCCATTTTATTTTAGGGCTTTACTGTAGGTCAGACAAAATAGCCTGCACATGTCCCCACGTGTCAAGGGCGTGTTGGGATCAAGGCTGCACTGCAGACAGGCACCTGGCTGTCAGTGGGAAGACAGGGGAAGGCATGACCTGCGAGGGGCAGGAGAGGGTGGGGCACAGCCCCATCGGGGACACCCAGGCAGGATCCCTGCACAGGGTTGGGGCAGCAGGACTTGGGGCAGCTGTCCCAGGGCGGGAACAGGTGGACCCAGCAAGAGCTATGTTTTCCGCACCAGGGGGCCTGAGGCACAGGCCAGTGTCTCCCCGGGGAACTCGGCTGAGCCAAGCGGTGCTGGGCTCTCAGCTTCATCGAGGCCCTGGCACCTCCACGCCCTCAGACAGTGTCTGTGCGGGTGTCACCCTGAGGGGGAGATGCAAAGCCCACAGAAGCTTGGTGTGGCAGCAGGAGGCTGGGGGTGCAGTGAGCCCTGGACCATGTGGCTGTGTGCGGGGCAGGCTGCGAGCCTGGCCATGGCCATCAGAGCGGAGTGCGCCTCACTGTTTCACATGGCTTTCGATGCCGGATGTGGTCTGCTGAGGTTTGGACCGCTTTCTGGCCCTGGTTTGTGTCTCCTGCCCTCTTCTCTCCCCTTTGTGGTGAGTCCAGGCTGTGTCCCCAGTGTGCCCTCCCTCCCATTCTGGCCAGGGCACTGAACCCAGGCCCTCAAGCCATGAACAAAAAGAGCAAGGGCTGCGTGGGGAGAGGGTGGCAAGCTGGGCGCCTGCAGTGGGCTCCCCTTGCCTTAAAGACCAGAGGGTTGAGCACCAGGTGTGCCTCCTGCCTTCTGGTTGGATGATTCCCCTGCAGCTGTGATTCACACTGGTCACCACGATGTTAGAAATGATGGATGAAACCAGGCCGTGAAGAGCTGCCCCTTGTCAGCTTCCCTTAGCGGGTCCCAGAAACAACAGCCTTTCCTCCTTGACGAGCTTTGCTATCATTTATTTCTTAACGTGGCTGCGTTTTGTCCTTCTGCCAGTCAAGATATCTTAGGTTTTTGGTATCTTTCTTTTGCATTTTTATTATACTGTACAAATCCTTTGGATTGTACCTTTTCTATCTTGAAGAGGTATCCTGCTGACCTGCTGCTTCTAATCCAAGCTTTTCTAGTGTGGGGTCCTTGATGCAAACAGCAGAGAGCAGGCAGGCAATCCAGGAGGACAGGGCTGGGTTTTGTTGCCCCAAACACTTCTTTACACAAGAATCCCGCGCAGCCTCAAGGTCTCCACGATGTCTGAAGGCTCCAGGGCAGACATGCGAAGACAGCCAAGTTCCTGAGGCAGGTGGAAGGTGGTGTGTTTCCACCTGGCCAGCCAGGCAGGCAACAGGAGGGCTCAGAGGGCAGGGGCACCCACTGTAATTGGCCTGTTCTGGGGGAAGGGAGCTCCCAGAGGCCTCTGCAGGGGCAGGACTTCAGAGAG